ATCAGGAAATTTTCCAATAAGCCCTCACCCACTTATTTACGTTGAATCCTGAAATAAACCTGTAAAACAAGGCAAGGAGTAAAGACAGGGAAAGAGGGAAGGTCCCAGAAAAGGAATGAGAGACTAAAGTTTATAAAAAGAGGCCAAAGAGATAAAAAAAAAATGGGTAGGAAAGAATCATGATGGACAAGAAAAAATAAACTGATTAGGCAAATATTGCACTTTAATAAGCCAAACAAAATTTTTGATCACGAATCTCTCCTTTACGATGTTAGAAAACTGCTGGTCTAATCTTCATTTCCGCTCTCTTAACGGAGTAGTGATCACCTTTCCAGAGATCCCAGTTTACACCATCAGCTTTTGAGTGTGTTCCGTGATGATATTGACCATTCAAGTTCGATTTGTAACAACTTTTATACCACCAAGCTCCTTTTTGCGTTGCAGCACAGTTAGCACTCTGAAAGGCGTCATTATCCTGATCTTTGGTTGTGAAAGGGTAACCACGATGATAGGAAAGAGAATCACCAGCTGTACCTGAAATTCGGTAAAACTGTAAGATTAATATTTAACTGTTAACTTAGGGTCAAATTTAAAGTTTCAGACAATGAAAAGACTATAGATCATTTTCTTCTTCAAAAAAAAGTTGAAATCTTAACTTCTCTTGCCCATAACCAATCATAACTTATTTCCTCCATGTAAAACCGAGGTGAATAATTTCTGAATTGTGTTTATCAGGAAATTTATAATGATACTAGATTAGCAACACAATTTGCGGATGGCTTAGTTCTAAATAAAGGAAAACACAAAAAAGAGAAAGAGAGAAAAGTTGTGGGGACAAAAATTGAAAAATTTTTCCTATCTTTGGGTGAGGAAAACAATGCGATTTCAGTATAGAAAAAAAATAGCGTGATTCGTGAATTAATCACACTGCTGAAAGCCGATCATATCGCTTCGCTATTTTTCGGATAGGGATCGTTTAATAATGTATTTTAAAAAAATAAATTTGTTATCATCGTGATTTCAAAGTGGGTGTAATAATGTATTTTAAGGAAGAATAACTTATTGTTGCCTTAATTCAATTGCTTTGGATACTACAGGCGCCCTAAACACTAATAGATGACCTCACCCGAGTAAGTACCAAGGCTGAGCTGGTACTTAGTCCTCTCACTGGTGACGGCGAAGTAATCGTACAAGGCATACGCTGTATTTCCTTTAGTGTCTTGCAGATCCACACGAAGCTTAAACTTCCCACTGTTGGTCAGACGGTTTATCTTGTCCAGTCCCAACCAAAACTCTCCATTCAGATTACCAAAACCATTTTTGTAGCTGTACCAGCCACGGAAGAAATCAACCGAACCGTCCTGTCTTTTCTGAGACACTGTCCACCCCCCACCGGCTGTCTTTTGGTCACAGAAAACATCAAAGGCACCTAAACCATCGGGATCTATTGTATAAACACCGCTGATCCTTTGACCAGATTTGTACAGCTCGGCGCAGCTCTTCGAAACTGTTCCTTGCTTGCACCTGACCATTCAAGTTCGAATGGTAACAACTTTTATACCACCAAGCTCCTTTATAGCTTGCAGCACAGTTACCACTCTTGTTGACGTCATTATCCTGATCTTTAGTTGTGAAGGGGCAACCACGATGATAGGAAAGAGAATCACCAGCTGTACCTGAAATTTGGTAAAACTGTAAATGTTTTAAACTATCTTAATTGAACTATTAACTTAGGATCAAATTTAAAGTTTCAGACAGTTAAAAGAATAGGTCATTTTCCTTTTCAAAAAATGATTGAAATCTTAACTTCTCTTGCCTATGACCAATCATAAATTATTTTCTCTTATTTAAAACTGAGGTGAATAATTTTTTAATTATGTTTATCACAAAATGTAAAGTGATTTAAATTAGCAACAGAATCTGCGGATGGCTTAGCTCTAAATAAAGGAAAACACAAAAAAGAGAAAGAGAGAAAAGTTTTGGAGGCAAAAATTGGAAAATTTGTCCTATCTTTGGGTGGGGAAAACAATGCGAGTTCGAGAAAAAATAGGGCTATTAGTGAATTAATCCCACTGCTAAAAACCAATCATATTGCTTTGCTATTTTGCGGATAGGGATTGATAAACTTGTTTTTGCCGTGATTTCGAAATGGATGTAATGGTGTATTGTAAGGAGGAATAACTAATTCTTGCTTGAATTTCGATTGCTTTGGATATTGAAGGCGTCCTAAACATTACTAGTGACCCTACCCGAGTAAGCTCCAAGACTGAGCTGGTACTTAGTCCTCTTACTGGTGACGGCAAAGTAATCGTACAAGGCAAACGCTGTCTTTCCTTTCGTGTCTTGCAGATCCACACGAAGCTTAAACTTCCCACTGTTGGTCAAGCGGTTTATCTTGTCCAGTCCCAGCCAAAACTCTCCATTCAGATTACCAAAACCTTTCTTATAGTAGAACCAGCCACGGAAGAAATCAACAGAACCGTCTTGTCTCTTCTGGAACACTGTCCACCCCCCACCGGCTGTGTTTTGGTCACAGAACACATCAAAGGCGCCTGAGCCATCAGGGTCGATTGTATAAACACCGCTGATCCTTTGACCAGATTTGTACAGCTCGGCGCAGCTCTTCGAAACTGTAGGGAGAAAGTTAAGTGCTACTGTTAACCGTGTAGTAATTTATGGCAGCCCTGGTTAGCTCAATTGGGAGAGCGCCGGACTGCTGTGCGGGAGGTCGAGAGTTCAATACCGGCCGGACCAACACTCAGGGTCTTAAAATTAACTGAGAAGAATATGCTTCCTTTCTTTAACATCAAGAAATGGTTAGATATTCTAGTCTTCTCGGATAGGGACGAATAAATGGAGGTCCCGTCTCCTGCAGGGTTAGGGGCAGGAGACGTTAATTTCCCACGCACGAGATTACTGTGTGATGGATGTCCTCCCCTGGGGTGGGATGGGTGGGTAACAGGACCCCCGTTGATACCAGTGTTTACTACACTGAAGGGGCTATCCTGTATAAATATAGATGTCTGTCTGTCTGTCTGTCTAATCTCTAGAGCTTTATGACTGTGAGCTCCTCGTTGACGAGGGTGGTTTATAAAGCACTCATTAGCTTTACTTCTGACTGTCACTCAGTTCACAGTGCACAATATCATGGAACACAACGCCATTTTGCAGATGGCAAAATTTTGAAAATTTAAAACTCATGACGATCTCAAAATACAAGTGTACGTGTATTTTATACTGACCCCAGCCACCTGTTTGGGAAGAAAGAGGGAGAGGAGAACTTGTTAGAGAGCTTTTAAGAAACTCGAGGATCTAAAAGCTGGTTGGGGGGGGGGGTATTACAATCTGGAGGCAAGGATTAACGGCACGGATTAACGGCACGGATTAACGGCACGGAAAGAGAGAAGGTCCCAGAAAAGCAACGAGAGACTAGAGGTATTGGAAAGAGGCCAGAGAAAGAATTATCACAGAGAGGAAAAACAAAACTGATTAAGCAAAACTTGCACTTTAATAGGCCAAACAAAATTTAGGATTTAATCTCTCCACTAAGATGTTAGAACCCTGCTGGTCTAATCTTCATTTCCGCTCTCTTGACGGAGTAGCGATTACCCTTCCAGTGATACCAGTTTACACCATCAGCACTTGAGTGTTTTCCGTGATGATATTGACCATTCAAGTTAGAGAAGCGACAATGATTATACCACCAAGCTCCTTTATTGGCTGCAGCACAGTTAACACTCTTGTGGGCGTCATTATCCTGATCTTTGGTTGTGAAAGGGTAACCACGATGATAGGAAAGAGAATCACCCGCTGTGCCTGAAATTTGGTAAAATGGTAGACATTGTAACTTAACTATCAAGTTAGGGTCTAACTTAAAGTCCCAGCCAATTAAAAGAATACCTCATTTTCTTTTTCAAAAAAAGGATTGAAATCTTAACAGGATCATTTGCGGTCCGGGATCATTCGCGGTCCTGGGGCCCGTTTCTCGAAAGTCCCGGTAACTTAACGTAAAGCTGTTCTGATCTCATTCAAGATGGAGATTTTAAAATTTTTTACTATGATGCAATAAAACCATTAGCTTAAGGAACAAAATGGACTAATTTATGTGCTAGAACCTGCTTTTCTATCTTTTAAATTTTGAATTTAAAATATGGCATCGGGCCCGTTAAATTAACGGGACTTTCGAGAAACGAGCCCCTGGGATCATTTGCGGACCCGTATATAACTTCTTTTGTCCGTCACCAATCATAAATTATTTCGCCCCACTTAAAACTGAGGCTGAATAATTTCTGAAGTTATTTTATCAGAGATCTTGAAATGATTTATAATTAGGAACAGAATTTGTTGATGACTGAGATATGAATAGATCGTAATCATGGTATATATGGACTATTGCAAATGGAGATACCGTTGGGAACCGAACTATTTTAGAAAGAGAAATAAAAAGAGAAAAAAGTTTTGGGGAACAAATTGGAAAATTTTCCTATCATTGGCTAGGGAAGATAATGCCATTTAGAGTAAGAAATGGTGCAATTCGTGAATTAATCACACTGCTGAAAGCCAATCATATTGCTTCTCTATTTTTCGGGTAGGGATCGTTAATAATGTATTTTAATTGTTAAGGAAAATAGATTTGTTGTTATCGTGATTTCAAAATGGATTTAAGAATGTATTGTAAGGGGTAATAAATAACTAACTCTTACCGAAATTTCAATTGCTTTGGATATTCCAGGTTTCCTAAACATTAATAGATGAACTTACCCGAGTAAGCTCCAAGACTGAGCTGGTACTTAGCCCTCTCACTGGTAACCGCAAAGTAATCGTACAAGGCATACGCTGTCTTTCCTTTGGTGTCTTGCAGATCCACACGAAGCTTAAACTTCCCACTGTTGGTTAGACGGTTTATCTTGTCCAGTCCCAACCAAAACTCTCCATTCAGATTACCAAAACCATTTTTGTAGTCGGACCAGCCACGGAAGAAGTCAACCGAACCGTCCTGTCTCTTCTGGAACACTGTCCACCCCCCACCGGCTGTCTTTAGGTCACAGAACACATCAAAGGTGCCTGAGCCATCAGGGTGAATTGTATAAACACCGCTGATTCTTTCCCCGGCTTTGTACAGCTCAGCACAGTTCTTGTAAACTGCATGAAAAAAATCAGATAAAGGTTTCACAGATTTATTCAGACTGGTTAGCAAACTTTTGAAAATGAACACTAAAAAATATTAAGAAAATTATTTAAAAAAGGAAATTATCCAAACAAATGATCTGATTACGTCTGTTGGTCTGTCAAACAATAAAAAATTCACATTACAGTCAATCTATTAGTTAAAGAATCAAGTTATCGGTGAGATCATTCAATCAATTAATCAGTTAATGAACGCAGTCAATCAGTTCATTAGTACATCAATTCAGTACCCAGACAATCTGGTTCTGAATCGTTACGGATCCGCCGTCCCTACGGATGATGGTCAGGATATAGCGTGATATAGGGATGTCTCGAAAAACATTCAGGAATAACGCGATTGGAGGTCCTGTTTTAATGAATGGCAGCTGAAATATTTAGCTCCAACAAAGGAGACTACTGACACTTAAAAAGAAGATTTCTTACTTCTATCCTTCCGGCCTACCCTCTGTACATATTAATCATATATTTATTCATTTAATGTTCTTTTACAGTTTCTTAGTTCTCTCTCTTAATCGAGGGTCCTCTACGTATATTCAATACTTCCTTACCCATAGATCTGAACCCGAAAGCGGTCAAAGTTTAACGCTCTCACCTTTTCCAGTAGATTTAGTTCCTCGTAAACCGTTCACTGTCTTTTGTAGGTCAGTCAGTTGTGTCTTTATCTCCAGCAGTTGTTTCTTCATCTCCTTGTTGGGTCCCGCATTAAACGTGTTGTAGTTGTACACATTGTGGCAAGGCGTCGGCGAGGTTGGTTTGTTGTGCCCATAAGCAGCTGAAGTAAAGGCAGATAAAACCAAGAGTGTGGAAAGACAATCTGAGCCAAAGAAGAACATCTTACCTTACAGAGGGTGTCTCGTTGGGCAGATTGGTTCTGACAATTTGCACTTCGCACCTGTGCCACAATCGTTCTAGTAAAAACCATTTGTTTATTTTTCAGTTTGCGAGACTTTTCGTGTCAAAAACTTGAGAGAAATTCATAGTTGATCAATAGTAATAGGAGAGAATGGCAAGAGTACCATATAACCCCATACATAATTATGCATTCAGACTGGTAGACTTTGTTTTTAAAGTTTTGTCGTGAAAGACAAAGAAGTGGAATGCATAATTAATGTATGGGGTTATATGGTACTCTTTCCGGAGAGAATGAGTGTGACTTTTTGAGGCTCTAAACACAATCTGCCTCTCGTGTATTTAAGGTTATGTAGCACACTCCGCACAAACGGTGGGGCGTCCTAATTTTTTAAATTAAAACTAGACGCTCGAGGAGCGTTCACTCGTGCTTCTTTTATAGCCATGGCATTCACACCAAACACGAATACAGTTATAACATAGCTTGTAAATTCGTGCAATCAAATTCAATAGCGCGAGCATGTTTTAATTTTCCATTGTGCACGCTGGTGACGTCAGCAAAACAAATGCCTCGCGAAAAATTTTTTTTCTCGCGAGTGACTTCAGCATTTTTCATTAAAAAACGGGAAAAACTTCCGCAAAAAAGTTAAACTTGACATGGCAATAAGCGAAGAAGCCGATGAAGATCTGCCTACTTTTTCTTTGGGAATGGATTTTTTAACTCCCGAGAAAGAACCCAGTAGCCCTCTCACTGGTAACCGCAAAGTAATCGTA